CGAGTACTTCTTGAAATTTCTGCAAAAATACAACGTAACAAGAAGTTGATGACATAGAAGTACCATTTCATGACAGAAAAATATCACAAAATGGCGTTTATGGAAAAGAAGCTTACAAGATATTAACGATGCTCACGCAGACACCAAAAATCATATGCACAACACCAAAGATGATGGAGAGCTTCATTTTATAGGAATTAAGAAATATGATCTTGTTCTCGGCGAGCATCCAAACTGGATCCAGTCCCATTGGATATGGTACCTGTGCATAAGCATCGGTGCCCGGATTCAACTGAAGGACATTATTTTCCATGATCGTAGACTTGTTGTATCTAATGGACCAACTAGATCCAAATATGTTAAACGACTTTGAGAATAAGTCGTTGTAGATGATGCCAGTGTAAATGGAAAACAGACCCATGAGGAGGATAATATAACGGCCAGCAAAGAATATATTCCAAATTTCGGACGTGGATTTTTGAGCCATTAGCTTCTTCTCCAGTATGATCATGTATAGAGCAAACAGGGTCATTATTAAACCTGCATAAAAAACATTATGTTATTATACATTTATAACTTTGATGCAGCGTTTTTAACATTTGGTGGGTCGCCATTAATCCAGTGACCACAGGTGGCAGCACTGGAGGCGTCCCAAAAGTGACATGATTGATCTTAAATTCTGATTATCTCAAAAATGAAACATTTCATTGCAAAATGATACAGGACTTTTAATTTTATTTTTCCCTGAACTACCAATTCTATACAATAGCATAAATATTTAAGGTTAGTTACCATGGCCACAATCGCCAAACATGATGCTAAATAAGAAAGGAAACGTGATGATGGTATAAAGTGCTGGATTAGCTTCACGGTATGATGCCACTCCATAGGCGTCAATCAAGTTTTGGAAACCTCTGGTGAACTTATTGGTCCTGTTAAACGTCGGAGGATTCTCATCAGTGTAGATTACGTTAAGGAAGGATGGTATGGAACTACCACAGAGACGCTGAAGAAGAATATTTCTATGAGTATTTATGTATCTTTGAGACCTGTGTTCACTTAACTAACCGATCCTTCGGTGAGGCAATTCCGGACAATTCCAAGGTCCGCCACAGGTACCCAGCATTCTCCTATCAGACACTTCTTCGAAACGTCCATATTGAACAGATTCATTGTATGGTATATTGCTTTCATTTTTCGGACCATAATCATCCAGTTAGGCAGCTCCTTGGCTACATTGTGTAGCACACGTTGACGATGATCGTGAGTTTGATTGAGAACCTGTCAAAGGGTCAATTTTTACTGCCTCCACACATTCAGTAATTTTAGCAAAAATGAAGCATTTATGACATCTTATGACGCCACTCGGTCGTCAAGCTTAGTCGTCAGAGCAGAATTCTTACCAAATTTAAATCTTCTAATCTGGTACGAACACCCTTCACCATATCCACTCTCTCAGCATGGCTATGAGGACAAGGGTACAAAGACGCATGGAATCCGCTGCAAACTTTCTTGATGCGACTCTTCAACTGTTCACCTTGGAAGAACGCGACGAAGGCAGTTTTATACATCTTGTTACCCTGAAACAATTGTCGCGCGCAAAACTTGTACGCATCTAACTACAAGGTGTAAAAATGATGAGGGACAAATCAGGATTAGTCTACCAACTAATCCATTGAGACCCACACCCGAGGCATACTTCACTTGGGCTTGAACATGAAAACAAGTCACACTGTTCGTGGCTTTTAGTTGCAAAGCAGTTGAACATTTTTAATAATATTTTATTTGATAAACAAAAAATGCGTGGCTATTAATCAGAGAATATAAAAAGAGTGGGTTCTAATTTGTCATTAAGCTGTGGAGTATTCATTTCATCAAAATCAAAATGGGATCGTTGAAAACTAATGATTAATGAATGATTATTTTCTAGAAAAATAAGCTTGGTTTTATGTTTGCATTTTTTAATGAACACTTGGAAATTGATTTAAAGTATCTCAGTTACCGAGTGACGAGAGTAACGTTGCTCTCCAGCTGTAACGCTCTGAAAAGAAATGAGATCTCAATGGGTTAATTGAAGATATTAAAGCTACTCACAAAGAAGCTTTTGCTACTAAAGATTTATAAATGATTACTTTTTCTCGGGTGATGTCAAAATGAGAAAATTGAAAATTGAAAAATTTACAGTGTGTGACAATTTCCAGGAGACTACTTTAAAAATCATTTTGTCAGATTATAAAAATGATACTGACACGATGATCAAATAAATGAAACGAAAATAAGCAACAAGATATGTTTTAATGATCGAAGTCTACTTTAGAATATTTGAATATTATTAATGACATACCATTACGTTTTCCGACTGCAAAATATTAAAATATCATCTCAATGATAATTTTATTATACACGTCTGATAAATTAATTATTGATCATATTATAATAAACTTTGAAACTGAATGTTGCCCATTATACACTTAACTCTTGGACGGCGGACCATGGAGAGAGCCCCAATTAATGCAATTTTGTATATCATTTTTTTTTCATTTTCTAAATTTTATACTGTTACTTTAAAAATTATTTTTCCAATAGATGAATGTAGATTAAAACCCTTGTATACATTTTGTAAGTTTGGGTCACGATTGACCCAGGCTCCGCTGTTCAAGTGTTAATTTTTATTTCAATTTTTTTAATTCTCTATCAACCTTATTATCTGAATCTACTCTCAATTTTTATCAACTTATATCTACAACTTGATGTAATAACAGCAAACATGTTGGACTACTGTGAAGTGAAAATTTTTAACGATAAATTAACACTTAAGTGGATATCACTCAATTAGTAGGTGACTTTTAAACTTTGATGATTTTTTATAAATATTTGAAACTTTATAGACTTACACCTTTTCCACTTTATGCTATTTGTAAAGTGGGCAAATTCGTCAAATTTTGTATTTTTGTACCTTTTTTCTCTGGCCAAAAAGAAGCAAACAAAATAATCTGTTAAGAGAAAAGAAGAAACAAGATATAGACTAACAGTGGCTGGATCCTCTAATGGCCTATCAAGCTCGGCTTGCCGTAGGAACACATTCCCTCGGGATATCCGCCATAGCATTCTCTCAAAAGCAGGCACTCGTTCACGATTTATTACTCCAGCAACGAATCTGTAACAAAAGAAATTTTATCAAACAGAACGATGACAATGATTTTAAAAAATTCAGAAAATTTTCAGAATGAAAAAAGCTATTTTGATCTCCTTGGGAAAAATGGGATATCTGATTGTAATTATGGATTAAAATTATCCTAATCCATAAAGATTCGTTTTTCGAGAATTAAATATTATTATTGATAGAAACGTACTCGAGACGTCCCCGACCTATCGCGCTCGAATTCTGTGCTTCCTCGTTAATTAGCGTCCTGGTGATCGAGTCGTTGGCCTCTTCCTGTTGATATAGAAGAAGATACGAATCTTGATTCTTCGACAGAACGGTAACATCGATTACACGAAGGAGGAGGGCGCTATGAGCAAAAGCTGCTGAACTACTTTAGCTACCTCCGTGAAAAACACTTGCGTCTTCTCGAGCACGTGCCGTAATTCCGTCAACTCGAGATAGTTACTCTTCAGGTTCACCGCGTTTTGACTCAGCTCTAATATATCGTTCTCCGTTTTCTCGAGATGGGCCTGAAACAGTCATTAAACGAAATAACTTATATACAGTTCCACAAAAAGGGTCCTGGGAGGTGAAGGATCTCCATAGGGATGGATGGGAGCAGGGAATCCATCTAAATGAGTAATAAGAAAGAGGAATTCTTACCTCGAGATCTATAATTGCACGTGGATTGGGTGCCCGTGGTAATTCCGTTAGATTGTCCGCGATTGGAACCCCATCTTTCCTAACTTCCGCCTCGATGTAGCGAAGTTTCCGCTCCATCTCATCGCATCGACGTACTTCGTTGACAAATTTACGTTGAAAATAATTCACGTCGGCGTTGAGCTATGAACGTAGCCATCATAAGAAAAAAAAGGAAAAGGTAAAATTTCAATTTCAATTTTGGGGTAGATGATCAATAATTTTTTTGAAAATTAACATTCTCAATAATCAAAATTTATTTATGAGCCTAAAAAATAACATGGTCCCTAAATAGCAGCATTCTGAATACCATGAGGGGTCTAAATTAAAAAAAAATATATAAAAATGTTACTTTCAACATCATACCAAAAGTCACGAGGTTGAAATTTAAAAATTAATTATGATGACATCTTATGACGCCATCCGTACTGGAAGCTTTAATAATCACAGTTTCAATCTGTATATTTTCACTGCAGTAATCAACGTGTTTGTGAGAACAACTGCAACTCTTGCGGAAGTATCCTTGACAACATTACCTTCTAATAATTATAATACCTGTTCGTGAAGGCTACCTTCGCGAAATGGTAATAAAACATAATGAAGTATAAGTGAACTTACATCGCGGAACTGCACCGTGCCAGTTTCTCCTAGTTCAGAAACAGACGAGTAGGCTGATTCTGGTTGGATGAACAGCTGACACAGGGCCATCTCCTCGCTTCTGAATAACGCCCCCATCCTGAAGGCGAATTATGTCCTGTAATAAAAACAAACAATCGTTATTAACAGTTTACCACAAACAGAATGAAGACAGAATTTCAAGACAGAATTAATAGGGAAATTACCAGGGATGGATGGCAGGAGGTGAAGGGGTAGTTACCCCTCTATTAAGAAACTGAAAATCTTTTTTTAAACATTTTTAACAATTTTAAAAAACATTGTTTAAAAAAAATGTAATATCTGAATATTTTATGCCATCCATCCTTAATTAATTTTGTAAGAAATTGAAGCGGAAGGTTTTCAGATACCGCAATCGTTAACGAGAAACGTAACGCCTTCGATACGAGATCTGTCATTGAGGTTTGCAAAATAGTAACGATAATCGAATTTATTATCGTTATTGTTATTGCTGATAAGACGATGAAATGTTCCACAGGACTCGGCAGCGAAACGTGATCTTATCACGAAACGTTCCTGATATCACGTAACACTTTTCAACTTATTTTGTAACGAGGTACTTTGTATTCCTAGACTTCCGACCGACATGACGTTCGAAAGAAAGAGGCAAATTTCAAACAAACAATAAAACTAAAATATAAAAAACAATATTTATCGAGGGATGACAGAGTGATAGTAATTTAATGACTCAAACCCAGGGGTTCTCAACACGGGGTGAAATTTTTGGGGGTAAGTTATGAGACCTTAAGAGTCTTATTTTTTACACCATAACCATACGCAAAAGATGTAGTTACAATTTTAATGTAATTTTGTATTTCATATTATCTTTGTTTTCTAAATATAGATTTAAAGTAGACGTGCTAGTGACCCTCCTATAGACTTATAAATGTGCCGAATTAATTTGGACACTTACGACAGGAAGTGTCCAATCGACTATGATAAAATGATTCGGTATATCTAGTGTAACATTAAACCGAAATGATTGGGAAGATCGTATCGTGGAGCTTAGTGTACTAATTAACATGAGCCACTTCAACTGGGTTAATCGAACCGAGATAAACGTATATCTGCTTACGTGTTTCAATAACTGTTACGAACGTATCAATATTTTCTCGAGATAACAAGGAAAACGATAGCCTTCGTTTTCGCGTTTTCGCACGAGCAGTCGATGCGATCCATCCCGATAACGATACAAAAGATGGCAAGAAAATAATGGAGGAATGAAAAATGGAACGACGAACGACCTTTGTTTTGATAAGCACAGAAAATCCAGAACGAGGTGCAAAGTACGAGTGTGATTCTGAGAACATCTTCACGCGTAGTGTGCACACCTTGTGATAGGGTGATTATTTATTGCTTTCAAAACAAATGAAATGTGCAACAAAAGATCGTATATAGCAGTATAAAAATTGTTATTTATAATAGAACAATTTTTGATTCTCAATTTTTCAATTTTTCAATTTTCAATTTTCAATGCACAGTTGTCAATTTTTCAATTTTCTATTTCCGATCTTCCTGTTATTTTCTGGCAAATTTAAGGCAGATAATAGAGAAATCATTGAATAAGAGCTGTGCGTGACTAATTTATTAGGTTGTATCATATCAAATGGCTGATTTCGAAACACAGAAAGTCTCTTATGATTTGATGACGTAAAAGTACCGCAAAATGGTACTTACGGCACATCGATTTAAAACTTACCATTTTAGAATAAAAGTAACTGAACAATACCAAGCTGTCAATTAGTAAATTAGTTGATTCATTGTTTACTTCAACAAAGTACCCATCATCCTGAATTAAGAATATCAATGAACCATCTATGTTGTCATTTTCATTAAATCCTAAGCTTTAAATTGATATACCCTAAGTACCATTTTGCAATAATTTTATCTCATCAAATCCTATCAAACTTCATACGTTTCGAAATTAGTCATTGTTTACTGCACCTGACACTCAACCTACTCGTATTAAGAATATCAATGAAACGTTTACATCATTATTTTCATTGTACTTTAAGCTTTAAACTCATATGCCATAAGTACCATTTTGCAATAGTTTTATGTCATGAAATTTTTCCTAAATTTCTATATTTCAAAATCCCCTATTTTATGCAACAACCTAAAGAAATTCCATAATTTTTCAATCTAATATGTAATTTTCATGTCTAAAATAGTCAGGGTTATTAACCTACTGTTAAGTAACAAGAATTAAAATGCAAGTAGTTCGAGTAGAAACTTTATCAAGCATGTGCATACAACATTGATTAAAAAGGAGCAGAGGAAATACCTTTCTTATCAATATATTCTAACCGTGTAATTATCGCGTCAAGGTTTGCACACCTTCCATCACCACATAATCACATGGCACCAGCAGCGAGTAAGTGTAATCACATGTGACAATAAGTTCCGTTCAACTTAGCACAATATTTGCATCGTATGATAAGAGACATAGATTTCGTTCTATTTTATTGTAAAATTTAATGCACCTATTATTCGTATTATTAGTTCATCATCCATGATTGTACTGTTTGCTAATCGTAATTAATGTTGTAAATAGGACTTTAAAACGGAATTGTGTATAATAAAAAGATAAAGATAAAACTGGGAGAAAGAATATGTTGATTATCCCGTAGTATGAAAGTTTGCAATGAACAGTTATTAGAGGGGGATAATGACTGTCATGATAAGAAAAACTTAAGTCTATGATTACTGTATAATTGTTAGTAGATAAATAAAAAGAGTCCTCCCAATTTTATAAGTATTAAAGTATTATAATTTGAAGCACATTAAATTTAAAAAAAAAAAGGAAATGAAAAATGATTTCATAATTTTTTAATTCTTTGTCACCCCAATTTAACTTTTCCTTAATTTTTGAATAATTGAAAGATTCAATTTTCTTTTTTCAAACAATATTTTTATTTAGTAATATCTATCATTTTTTTATTGTCTTAATAAATAATAGAGGTAATTTTGCCCCACCCCTTATTATGCATTATGAAAAATGATCAATAAATAGTTATACATAGATCAACGTATGAGTATCTATTTTTTACGTTCCCTGCAAATTGTGACCGGTTGATTTCATTGTCCACGTTGCGTGGAAACGAGCAGAAAAGAGCGGATGTACATTCCGCGTGCTATCTGCCTGACGAGCACTAATTAACCCGTACCTTCATGCAAAGACACACGCCGAAATTTTCCGTCATTAAATATATATCCTATCTATTTATTAGTCACAAAGTTTCTACGCAGTAATTCACTGATAATCACCCTTGACATAAATAGGAACAAAGATGGACCCTCCCTCAAAATAAGACCTTCTAATTCCAAACCAACGAACAATGTGAATAAAAAAATATGAAAACAATTATCAGTATAGAAATTTTTAACTATCCAAAAATAATAAAATTGTTTAATTTCCTATTAAAATGATCAAATCTTCTTTTTTCCAAACTGCTGTCATTTTGTTAATTCTGCAGCTTTTTCATCTAATCAAAATTCATTATTTGCACAATTTTTCAATAAATAAAAGTCTTTTTGATGTTTTAATTTTGGATAAACAGAACAGTCAGGGAACAATTTTGAAGATGGAAGGTTTGATAATTGCATAAATCATTTTATTTGTTTACCTTTTTTAATTAATCAGTAATTTTTTTCTTTTATTTATAAATTTTCAAAATTTTAAAAGGCTCCATTGTATAATTTTCAAAAAAGAGAAGAATTTGTGTTGGTTTAGTGGGGTGCACCCCTGAAAGAACTCACCCTAATGTTGCACAGTACACAGGAAGAACTAGTCTTTTGTTTTGTTCAGCGATGATTAATGACGTGTAGAAGTGAGAGAAAATTACATAACAAATGGGGCTTCCAGCGATTTGGTTCAATTCTACGAAATACCGGACCGACTGTCGCGTACTCAACTACTTACTTTACTGAATCTAATTCAACACAGTGGACGAGCACACGTCCTACCTCTGTGTTTCGTGTGCTTGGGTGGGAGGACAGACCTCGTGATGAGTTGTTCATTGTACATAATCGCACGATGTAAAGATACATTTATTCAAATCAATTCAGGTAACAGATATCGTGGCAATTCAACAGGGCATGCGAACAATTAAAATTGAACCAGACAGTTCTCCAAGATTTTGATTTTTTTTAAATTAATTTAGCAACATGATCAGCGAAAAATTCATTGCAATTTCTTAATATTTTTTAATATTAAAAAAGGATTTTTAATATTACTCCAAAATATTTTTTATTTACCTACAATTGTTCTCCGATAGAAAATAAATAAAATAAAATATTGTACTATACAATCATATACTGATTACTAGTTCTTTTGTTACTGAAAAGATATGACTTAAACACAATCATATCAAGCAGATTATTATATTAGATAAAAGGATCAATACATATGATTAGATTCAATTTTTATAATCCATCACATTCCATGGACTTCCCCTACATAATTCCTAGTGGATATTGAAAAAAATAACATTAAAATTAGTCAAATTTGTTTTCATTATACTTATGAAAAGTTACATGATATTCATAATTCAATTATAGTGATTGATAGAGATCAAAGAGCAAGCTATATTTGGGAATTTTTTTTGGAAAACTCATGAAGTATATAGAAAATCTGTTATATACATTTTATTGTACATATTTTAAGGTATACGAGAATATTTTTAGATTTTCTTTATTTAATAAAGTGGCGAAGCTACAGCTGCCTCACCATTAAGACGTCGTTTTTAGGTATAGTCACTGTGAGGCAGCTGGACCTCCGCCATTTTGTTGAATAAAGAAAATCTAAAAATATTCTCGTATACCTTAAGATATGTACAATAAAATGTATATAACAGATTTTCTATATACTTCAAGATTTTTCCAAAAAAAATTATCGAAGATGGCTTTGAGTTTTCAGGTTCAAAGTACCTAAAAATGGGTTTTTTGAAAAGTATAAAACATACGAAAGGTATTTTTTTAAATAATAATCTTTCTAAAAAATATACTGTTTGTACCTAAATCTGCTACAAAGAAATTTCAACATTCTAACAGTCTGTACTGAAAATAAGGGGCTCGATAAAAATCTCTATACATATGTCTTCAGGTACACGAAGCAGATAAGATAATGGCTGCTAAGAATGCGTGGAAGATTTTTCAAAGTAAACTGAAAATAAACATATCACTCGGATGACAGAGTTGGGTCTTTACTGACCCACTGTACAATTTAAACCCAAAATTTACTTTTACCCATTTTGAGCAAATATGAATATATATCATTCACTATTTTTGTTATTGTTATTACTTCTTCAAGGGATTTTTTCAAAAAGCATTTATATAAATTTGGGTCACTATTGACCCTACCATTTTAAAATAGATCTAAATATTAAGTATTAAATTTTTATTCAACTCGAGTTTAAAATCCCATTAACTCTTAAAATCATTTGTTTCGATAATTACCTCAACCTCTAAATTTGGTTCAAATACGTTAGAAATTGAGTTAATCCATGTCCTAAAGCCATTAAACTCTATTTACCGAATCATTGGTAGACCGAGTATAGATAAGACCAACGATAATAGGTTTCTTTTTTTCGGCTGTTACAACGTTTTAAATCAATGTTTCCTTATCTCTTGATTGTTCAACGAATGTACCAAATGGTTATATCATTTTCTGCACCTACTAATGTAGTATAGAACACTTTTAACGCGTCTCAGAATGTACCAAAGTTCTTTAATTTAAAAATTCTTATCAGTCTCGTGAGAGATTTTTTGGAGCATGTCTGGTTATCTGCACGATAACAATGAAAATAGACTGCAACTACGACGAACATGCTACTTTATTGTACTTGATTTAGAGTTAAGTACATAATGGAGATTGAAGATTCATCCTGATGCAAGAAACAAAGATACTAAAATACTCGTAAGCAAATATTAGGTGTATAAATTAATTCCGTCATCTCTTTTTTTAATTGAAGACTTTTCTAACAAGTCAATATAACTCTAATTAATGAAATCATTTTTACTGTTATTCAAATTTAAAATAGTAATTAGAAAGATATAATTCTAAAGGCACTAAATTAATTTGTACACAAATTTGTGATATTTGTTAATGTATAATGTTAAACTTTTTTCTAATTAAATAGATAATATAAGTATAAAATTTTATAACGTTTTGTGGGAATTTTCAATGGAAATTTTGTGACAATGTAGCTCGAGGTAACTTAGAACATAACACCGAGGACAAAATTTATTCAGCCGTGGTTTTTAGGTCATTGTCACTTTGCGACTTAACCCGTTTGTTTGATCATCCTCGGTATTATCTGCTATTATAAATTTAACCAGAAGCAATAAAATAAAATCCAATGTTCTAATTTTTTTACTTCTGAAAAATACACGTAATATAGTACAATTATTAATATTAATTTTTCTTCATGTTCATTAAATTTTGTTAATATATTCTTCTTCAAGGTACAATAGTACAAACCTCCCCAATATCTATTGATAGTAAATACATAATTGATTCAATATTAAATTTGCAATTTCAAATAATTAATATCCAATTATTTGGATTATTTGATCTACAGTTCCTAAAAAGAACAGTTCGTACAGTGTTCACAACTTATTTGCAAGCACGTTTAAATTGCCAGGTAAGAATGTGCCTTTAAATTCCACAGTTGCATCGTGGAATACTAGATGGCAGAACTTTCTCGCAAGTCAATATCTCTGCTAACATGATATAACCATGCTCGCATCAAGTACTCGCAGTCCTTGTCTTGGGGAGCAAAGTATTCAATGATCGTCTAGTGAGAGTACTGTTGCTGAAGCCCATTATTTAATTATAAACCGCATCCGCAATTTTTATTGTGAGATGCAATTTTTGGATAGCCTCTTTACTTCATAAGAGGCTTTAGAAAAAGTATATGACTGTTTTCCCACATTTTGTTTTTTTAGTTAACTTATTTTTATTTTCAATTCTTATGCAATAATTTTTTACTATACTAGTATAGTTTTTCATCAAATTTCAACTATATTAGTACAGCTTTTCCCACTGTTACAATATAATTTTCCAAATTCCAAATTTTCTAAATTTCCAATTGACAATAGAACTGTAATTTAATTGTCATTGTATTAAATTTAATATTATGATATCAATATCAGTATCGAACCACAATTTTTAATGATGTGACATAAAATATCACAACTTTGATCATCATAGAAACCAGAAGCCATATTACCGTAGCACTCAACTTAGTGTCGCGACATTGGAATGAGGAAATGAAATGATTTTGACATTACTTATTGTATCCGTATTGCATTTAACACGTGCTGTGTTGTAACAAATGCAAATAAGTATCATTTTCCTTATTTAAAATGACAGCATTGTTACTTCAAACCTGGCATCTGTTCAGTTTGCCACTTGTAAAATACTTCAAATAGAGACATTATTGGAATTGTTTCGCGACGCACTTTGGAAGGAGTTAGAGGTTTCTGAATTACCTTTATGTACTAAGAAACCGTACAATCGTGAACACGCAGTGTATGTATACAGTTTCATTCAGTCTACAATACTACTCTATTAAAATGGAACCGATACTAGGAGTGATCCATTCTGTTCAGATTATTTATAGCAATGCTCGTTCTATTAACGTGCTTCAAGCAATGGACCAAAGCTAACTGTTGCAGGAGAATAATTTATAAAAAGTCAGTTAAATGATAGAAATACTAAATGAAAGGATTATATAGGGTGTTCCAGAAATCATTCCTATATTTTAATTTAAAATCTATACTATTTTAAAGCATATAAGACAGAAAGTTAT